GGGAGAATTGGGCTCTGTTGTTTTTGCATGGCTTTATTAATTTTCATTGCTGTATTCTTTTAGTACTGCAATTAATTTATCCATTGTACTATGGAAGACAGTAGCGTGCTTTCTAGTTCTATGCTACTCCGAACAATGGTGCGCTGAAGTCTTCCACACCTCTGTGAGACTCAATTGCTGGGTAGTAGAGTATATGTATATTTAGTTTTAGTAGATCACATTAAACTTTTTTTCCCCAGAAAATCTACCAAGTCAAACATTAAACTTTTTCAAAGAGATTTTACCACTTTACACTTCCACCAGCAGATGAAAGTTCCTATTGTTTTATACCCTCACCTATGTGTGAGGTATTGGGACTTTCTAACTTTTGCTGGTCTCCTGGATTCATTGTGGCTTTAGTTTGCAATTCTGATTGTTTATGAGATTGAGTACTTTTTCACTGCTTCTTATTTAGTGGCCATTTGGATTTCCTCTTTGGAGGAGTTAGGTTTTTTGTTTTTTCAGCACTGAGGATGGGTCTTCCACATCCTAGGCAAGTGCTTTCTCAATGAGTAACAACATCCCAGCCCAACTTGTTTGTATCTTTAGCTTATTTTTCCATTGGGTTTTCTGTCTTGATTTGTACGAGTTCCTTAAATATTCTGCATACTAGTCCTTTGTTAGTTGTATGTGTTACAAATACCTTTTATTGTCTTCATCATGTTTTGTGGACAAGTTCTTAATTGTATTTTATCAATTTTATCAAATCCCTTATGGTTAGTGCTTTTTACATCTCCCCCATCCAGATGTTCTAAAGATATATTCCTATATTATTTTCTAAGAGCTTTATAATTCCACCTCTCATAGTTAAGACTAAATCTAATTATAGCTATTTTTTTATGGCATTGGGGTTTAAACCCAGGGCCTCCCGCTTGCCAGGTAAGCACCTTACCACTTGTGCCATACCGCTAGCTTTTTTTTTTTTTTAAGTTTAGGTTATGATTTGGATCTGGCATGTACTTCAGAAGCTCCTGTGTTGAAGGCCTGGTCCCCAGATGCAGGCATTATTGAGAAGTGACTGGATTATAAGGGCTCTTACCTAATTGATGGATTGATCTGTTGATGGATTCATGATTGGGTGGATTACTGGGAGGTGGTGGAGAGTAGAAAGTGAGGAGGATTGAAGGAAGTGAGTCACTGGGGGAATGTCTTTGAAGTATGTACTTTGTCCCCAGCTCCTTCCTGTCTTTCTTTCTCTGCTTCTCAGCTGCCATGAGGTGAGCATTTCTGCTCTACTAAGCCCTCTCTACCATGATGTTCTGCTTCACCAAAAGCCCACAGCAATGGGGTCATGTAACCATTCACCAAAATCTCTGAAACCATGAACCAAATGAACCTTTCCTTCTTTAAAATTCTCAGTGAGAATTATCACAGTGGTGAAAAACATATCCAAATTCATCTTTTCCATTTAGATAAAGAATTTTTCTAGTATCACTAGTAAAGAAATAAAAAGTATCCCTTCCTTAATTCCCTCCAGTGCAATATCTATCATTTTTCAAATGTTTGCATACACGTGTGGGTCTATTTTGGGGTTTGTTTCTCATTGTTTCCTTTGTCTATTTCTGCACCAATGCTCTTAAGACAATAAAGAGTATTGTTACTGCCTAAGTACAATTTCGTAAGTCTTATTTCCTGACTTACACAGCATCTTTTCACTAATGAAGTGTATTAACTTCAAAGTCCTAATTTTTTAAAACTTTATTAGTATATTATCATTGCACTAGGGTACACTGTGACATTTACAAAAGTGCTTCCAATATATCTTAGTTAGGTTCACCCCCTCCACCATTATGTTTTATCCTCCCTTCTTAGAATAGTTTCAATAGATCTCATTGTTCCCCTAAATTTGTTTTATTTGGATTAAAAGCAAAACTACAAAAAACTCTTCATTCAATGGGGCACAGAGGCTCATACCTGTAATCCTAACTACTTGGTAGGATTGTGGTTCAAGGTCAGCCCAAGCAAAAGTTAGCCAGACTCCCTTCTCAACCAATTGTTGGGCGTGGTGGCACACACCTGTCATCCCAAACCATGTGGGAAGCTAAGATTGGGAGGCACCATTCCAGACCAACCTGGGCAAAAAAAAAAAAAAAAAAAAAAATCATGAGCCTTCATCTCAATGAAAAAAAGCTGGACGTGGTGCTATATACCTGTCAACCCAGTGGTGGAAAAAAGGATAAACAGGAGGATTGCAGTCCTGGCTGGACTGGACAAAAGTGAGACCCTATCTCAAAAAAATAACAAGAGCAAAAGGGTTGAAGGCATGGCTCAAGCAGTAGAGCACCTGCCTAGGAAGCACAAAGCCCAGAATTCAAACCCCAGCACTGTCAAAATCCTCTTTATTCAACTCAAGAAAAACTGATTTAAAATGGGAGCGAAGTTATTGGCAGGTTTACCTCACATGAAATAGCAAAATGAATGTGACAATTTGCAGGCAAATTTATTAGGGTTCTCCAGAGAAACAGAAGCAATAGGATCTATCTACCCACCTACCTGTTTGGAGAGAGAGACTGAGTATAAGGATTTAGCACAAGATTATATTTGTTCTATTCAGACATTCAACTTATTGGATGAAGCCTACTCATGTTATGGAAAGTAATCTGCTTTACTCTACTGATTAAAAATATTAGTCTCTTCCAAAAAATGCATTTACAGAAACATCCATAATGTGTGGCCAAATATCTGGCCACTCCATGACCTGTCAAGTTGATATGTGAAATTCCATCACAACTACTATATAAAATACATCAGGTATTAACAATGAATTTTATAAGGATCAAGAGGGAAAGGTAGCACTTGATACCAATAATAAGCAGAACAAAAACAAAAAAACCCAAAGATTCCTTTTCTATGATAATTACAATGTTAATGGGGTTTAAAATTAATTATGTCTATGAACATTCTGATTGCTATATTTTTTCATATTGTTCTTCACTGAAGTGTAATTCATATGTCAGTTGGGGGCCTTCCTCTGATCCCTTTAAGTCTAGACAAAAATATTTAAAACCTTTGGCTTCTAACCCTGCAGAAGTTTAAGATCTCATTCAATATTTCTGCAAATTCCCAACAATCAAATTCTCATCTCTTCTGCTTCTTAACTCTGCTATCTCTCCAAGCCCTGTGGTTCTACATTACAGTGACTCTAACATGAGACTCATTCTTTTTAATTTGAAAACTGTATTTATTTGAAACCTTACAAACAAAAATTACGCTATTTTACCATACTAATAGTAAGTCCCACAGAAAATGCAATTGGAAATGTTTTTCTTTTTTTTTAGTGGGACTGAGGTTTGAACTCAGGATTTTATGCTTTCAAAGCAGGTACTGTACTGCTTGAGACACACCTCCAGTTCATTTTGCTCTGGTTATTTTGGAGACAGGGTCTCCAACTTTCTGCCCAGGCTGGCCTCAAACCAGGATCCTCCTAATCTCAGCCTCCAAAGGATTACAAGTGTGAGCCACCAGTGTGTGGTGGGAAATGCTTTTTGAGATACACATGTTTAGAAAAACACTGGTCTTTGTAAAGAGACTCATCTCTTTGACTTCTACAAGAAAAACCCATGCCAAGCGTGAGTCTGACAGACTTTACAGGACACATTGGGCCAGGGAAGGCATCACAACACAGTCCACGTCCTCCTGCCACTTTTGGGCTCTTTCTTCTCTCTTCTTTCTGGGTGCCCAACACTCTAATGTTTGTACCTCTTCTGTATCAACCAATTTTACCACTCAGGTGAATGGCTGTGCATGTCCCAAATTTTGTTATGGGCTAGGTAGGGCGGTTTCCTTTGCAAGGGATAGGTACTTGGCTTAAACCAGCTTAGGGCAAAAGACTTATTTTTTTGGCTCATGTACTCAAATGACAAGCTTATCAACAAAATTGCAAGGAGAGAAGGATTTAGCTACTGCAAAAGTCCCTGGAACCAGGTGCTTAAACCTCCTCCTCTCATTGAGACAAGAAGTCTCAATTCTTTTAGCTTTGACCATCTGGGAGGGGCGTTTTACATTCTTTACTGTTCAAAACCATAAAAATGCTGGCTAAGGACTTTGACTGGCTTAACTTGGTCAGCTGCCTGTCTTTGCCCCAGTGGCCTATCATGTGTGTGTTCCTGTAAGAACACAGAACATCCTAAGGGAACCAAATACTCGAGGAGCAGGGGCCTTTTCTAAGTAAAATGAGGAATTTCACCATAGACATAATATTCTGGAATATTTTTGACTATCAAGTAAAATATGGGATAACCACTTCTGAGTCCTATACCAGCACTTTAAACGAAGTGTCACCGGATTTCAGAGGAGGGGGCAATGAATATTGCCTGCTGGGAAGCACGAAGAAATACTTTCAAGACCTCTTGAGATGAGCCTTTAAGGGATTGAGTGTGATTTGCCAAGCCAAGAGGGGATTCAGGGAAGAGAGACTTCCAGGCTTGAGCAAACGGACGTAAGTAACTCCTTTTCCAAACCTCAACTTTCATATGCTGGAAAAAAAAATGCATTTAAGCCATCGAAAACAAAGGATAAAAAAAAAAATCATGTCATTGCAAGGACAGGAGATTAAATCTTTGCTTGAACTGAAACACAAAATGTGTGATTTAACCCCTTTACAACTTGACTTTCTCACCTGTTACACATTGCACGATGATGATGGTGCCTTCAGAAAACTCAGGTGATAGTCAATACCTTAGCATATTCTAAGTGCTCAATACATGCTGGAGAGATTAGCAATTTTTATACACGTAAGTGTAGCTGGGGGTTATTTTGGGTGATAAATGGGGGCTAGATTAACTATTAACTATTTAAAGATATGTAACTCACTGTTTAAAGTGAGTTTTTTAATGCACAGTAGGCGTTATTGTTAAATACTTAAAAAAACTTTTTTCATAGTCTTGGTATATACTGTGGTACAAAAGAGAAAACAAGAAATAACGAGGGATCTTAAGTGTTCGCTTTAATTCTATATTGACATAAATGAGAAAGGAAGACAAAAAAGGCAAGCCTTTTCTAAGTGATCAAATGGGCAGAGAGCTCCCTCGGGCCTGCAGAGTGGGGGTAGCCGCGGCCAAAGCGTCACCAGGGAGGCCCCGCGACTCACACGAACTCTACACCTCGCGCGGGGACCGGGACCACACACAGCGAACACACCACGCGAGGCCAGCAGCAGCCTTCTCACCTGGTCCGCCGTTGGATCCCGCTTCCCACAGCGGGCCCAGCGACGCACTGTCTCAGAGGCTCTCGCCTAGTAAATGCCCCTTCCCACCGCCCCCCGCGGTGTCGTCGTGACATCACTTCCGGTCTCAGGCGCGCACGTGGGAGGAAGTGCGGGTACCCGCGGCCCGCCGCTCCTGTCTCTTTGGTTACCCTCGTCCGCCGGCCGGACCGTTGCCTCCAACTGTGTTGCCGCTATGGGAGTCCCAGCGTTCTTCCGCTGGCTTAGCCGCAAGTACCCGTCCATCATTGTCAACTGCGTGGAAGAGAAGGTGAGGAGGCACCAGGTGGCCGCTAAGTCGGAGCCGGGGGTGCCGGCGCGTCTAGGCCGCGGCCCTCGGGTTCCGCTGCCTGGCCCAGGGGAGCTTCGCCTGAGTTAGCGTCGCCCTCCCAACTCCTTGGGTAGCCGCGGTTGCGACGTTCGGTTAGACGCGGGTTCAGGGATTCATGCCCGCGGAGCGGCCTGGGCGAGGCAAGCAGGCTGAGCAGGGTCGGAACTGGCGGGAGGACCGCTCCTCCCCTGCCCCGCTTTTCCCGGCACCGGAAGGCTCCGCCCACTGCTTTGTTTCCTCCCGGGACAGCGCAGTTTCGGTCCCGGAAGGGACTCAAAAAGTGTTAAGATAACACTTGCTAGGTGTGCTGCCTTGGCGATGCACGGGTGAAGATCACTGCTTTACAATCTCGTAAACGCCGGCGGCGAGCTTTTTGTTGCTTTGTTGATGTTTAATCACACGCGGAAGGCTGCATGTTAGAAAGGTCTAGGACTGGACGAAGTCTGATACGTACCCTCAGCTATATGTGTTCCGACTGCTGGATAGATGACTGTCGAAAATTTCAAGATTCTTAGGTGCACTCGAATAATATGCTTTTTTGGTATTAGTTTGTTAATATCTTAGACTTTTAGCCGCTCTTGAGCTTTATTTTTGTCGTTTCCGTGATTCTGCCTAAGTTCGATTTTGTACTCAGAATTATGGATTGGGAAGCTTCGGAGCACATGTGTCCCTCCCCTTGGTTTTTGACGTATTTGGATATCGCTATGACTGATTTTCCTTAGAACTTTTTTCTGTTTTGGCACTGGGGTTTGAACTCACGACTTCATGCTTGCTAAGGCAGGCACTCTTACCGCTTGAGCCACTCCACCGGTCTTCCCCCCGCCCACATCTCCCCCATTTTTTTGATTTTTTTTTTTTTTTTCCTAGATAGTATCTCGCGAACTATTTACTCTGGCTGCCTTCGAACCGCAATCTTGTTGATCTCTGCCTCCTGAGTAGCTAGGATTACAGGCGAGGCACTGCCGCCCGGCTAGCATTTGCTTAGGTCTTGAGTTTTACTTACTCCTGTTTCTGGAGAATCCAAAAGCCCTATTTTTTGTGTTTTTCTGGGAAGAGTAATTGCTAAGGTGAATGCTTATTTCCTTTGTAAAGCTTTTGTCAAACTTTATATTCTCATGGACTGTACTAAAAAGCAACAGTTCTTGTTCCACTCTTTCCCGATTTGTATCTCCTTTCCAGAGACGTCCACTTACATACTTATATAATTTATTTATTTGTTGGAGGTGCAGAGGTTTGAACTCAGGGCTCCGCTCTTGCTAGGCACGCGCTCTACTACTTGAGCCACTCTGCCAGCCCAACTTTTGTATTTTGGTTCTGTCTCTAAATATCAGAGACAAATATTTTTGTGCTTGATTTATCAGTCTAACTATGATAGAGAAGTTAGTCACTTGTCCACTCCCCCCCCCTTCCTAATGCAAATCACTATTTCTTCCATTGGAAAGCTTTGTAACTTCAAGTTCTACATCTTTTTTTTTTTTTTTTTAATTCCATCACCTGTATAAAAGTTAAGTGTTTAGCTTTTCTACCCCTGGCTGTACCCAGGTTTGCCAACTATACTTCCTTGTTGGTATCCAAAATTGTCAGGGATCTGCTTATACATGTTTGTTTTGAAAAGGCTGAGAAAGGAAACAGTATTGTTGGTTGTTGTCCTGTGCAAATTCCTCTCATGTGCTTCTTATTTCTTATGTTACTTTTCTTTTTCCTAGAGCTGCCTTTCTTTTTCACATTTTATACCCTTTCCTTACCCAAATTATTTTATCATTTTTTCAAGTCCTCTTAAACCAAGGTTTTAGACTCCAGGCCCAGACGCCTGGTATTCCACCTGTTAGATACTAGATATGGCCAAGGACAGGGAAAGGGAGGTTTGGCACATGGCATGGGTATGCCATGGGAAGACTGTGTCAACTTCAGCCATCTTTAGGTTTAAATAGACAAAGAATTGGGGACATGTTATTAAACTTCTGGTTACAGGTATGTTCCAGTGGCTCATTTTCTCAGTCTGTTTTGGGAGGGATTCAGGAGAAGTTAACACCACTGATTGCCTGGCAGGTGGTCTGTCCTGAGGAGGCTGTGTTCTTTAGGGGAAGAGTCTATATTGTTCCTTAGGGATAGATCTGCTCCCTTGTCATGAAGTTGTTATCCTGTCAGTCCTGTCCTTCCTGGAACCTAAGGTGATTGTCAAGTGACTGGTTTATAACAAAGATGGATACAAAAGGAGGCAGGAATGCCAGATTTTTCTCCTGCTTTTAGTTAATCCATAAGCCCAAGTAAGGAGCAAGAACAGTTAAGTAGCTGTTAAATTTTTTCTTCAGAGACTCCTTAGAGTCTTTTTTTTTTTTGAAACGGTTTCACCATGTAGGCAAACCCAGTTGGAGGATTGGATGCTGGTCTCCAATTCATAGTCTTCCTGCCTCAGCCTCCTAAGTGCTGGGATTACAGTTATGTGCCTGGCTTTTGGAGTCACTTATTTCTGTTGCAGTCACAGAAGTAATTTCTGGAGCCTTGCTGAAAGGTGCTTCATGAGATTTTTTTTAGTCGTAAGCACTATTTTATGGACCATCATCTTTCTTGGCTAAAATCCTTCCTTGAATTTTATTCTCAGTTGAATTCTTAGGGAAATGTCATTGTGAGATTTTAGTTTTCTGTCATTGCAGGCCCCAAAATATCTTCATTGTATCCTATACACGTGACTGATCGATAGCTAGGCATGGATCTCAAGTTTGAAAAATTAGTTTTCCATACGACTTTGTAGACATTGTTCTTTTGTCACTTGGTATTGTTGACCACAAGTTCATTATTAGTGTGATTTTTATTTAACCAATACTTTTGTAGTACTTACCATGTACCAGTTACTATACAAAGTACCCTGTAGACATTAGCTTAATAAATCTTCATAACTTCTTAACTGTATGATTATTGCTACTTATTATTATTATAGATAAGAAAATCGTGACAGAAAGGCCAAATATCATACTCAGCTAATTTCAGAGCCAGTGTGAAAGCCAGGAGGACCGTGCTCCTAATTTTTATGACCTTCTGCATTTATTCTTTTGCTTTAATCCGTGTTTCTTTCAAGTTTTATTTTATTTGTTTTTTTTGAGACAGCGTCTTGCTGTGTTCCCAGGCTGACTATGAGCTTCTGAACTTCAGCAGTTTTCCTGCCTTAGTTTCCCTCATGATTGGGATTACAGCCACATCCAGCTTTCTGAATTGTAAGCTTTCATAATGATGGGTTTAGGTACAGATTTCATTGTAAATTTAATTTTCTTCTTTTTTTTTTTTTGGTGGTACTGTGGTTTGAACTCAGGACTTCACACTTGCTAGGCAGGTGCTCTGACGCTTGACCCACACCTAGCCTTTTTTTTACACTGCTTATTTTTGGAGCTAGACCCTCACTTTTTTTTTTCCGGCCCAGGCTAGCCTGGACTGTTGTCCTCCTGATTTCATCCTATAGCTTGGGATGACATGTGCATGCCACCATGCTCAGTTTTTTTCATTGAGCTGATATCTCACAAATTTTTTTCTTTTCTTGCCCTGACTGGCCTGGACCGTGATCCTTCCAGTCTCAGCCTCCTGAGTTGCTTGGAATAATAGGCACATACCATGCTTTAGTTATTTTTTGAATAGAGTCTCATTATGTCTCCCTCATAACTGGATGACAGGTACTCACCATCACACCCAGCTTGTTGGTTGAGATAGGGTCTCACCAACATTTTTGCCTGGGCTGGCCTTGAACCTCTGTTCTCTGGATCTCTGCTTCCTGAGCAGCTGAAGTAAGCCACAGTGGTTGGCTTTGTTTTGTTTTCTTGAGAGAGTCTTGCTGTGGCCTTGAACTGTGATCCTCTCAATCTTTGTCTCCCAAGTGGCTATGATTACAGCAGTGAGCTACCATGCCTGGTGTGATTTGCAATACTTCATTTTTTTTGGCTGGATTGGAATTTGAATTCAGGGCTTCATACTTGCAAAGCAGGCAGCCACACCTCCAACCCATTTTGCTCTGGTTATTTTGAAGATGGAGTCTCCTAAATTACTTGCCTGGGCTGGCTTGAACCTTGATCCTCCCATCTCAGCCTCATGAGTCACTGGTGCCTGACAAGATATTTCTTAATGTAAGAATTTGCAGCCATAAACTTCCCTGTGAAATTTAGGTATCGTAAGTTTTAGTATATTGTGTCTTCATTTTCATTGATTTCAAAGCATTATCTGATTTCCTTTTTGACTCCTTTTTTGACCCATGGGTTATTTAGGAGTGAGTTGTTTAATTTCTGCATATTTGTGAATTTGCCAAATTACCTTCTATTACTGATTTTTAAATTTCATTTCATTGTGGTTAGAGAATATACTTTGTATTATTTCTGTGCATTAAAATTTACTGAGAGGCTTTTTCATGTACAGTTGAGAATGTATAATCTGTTAGCTGTATTGTTCTACAAATATTTGATAGGTCTAGTTATTTTTGGTGTTTAAGTCATCTGTTTCCATGTTGATTTTGTCTAGTTCTATCCATTGTTGAAAATACAGTTTTGAAGTCTCTAAACTGTCACTGTGGAATTGACTCTCATTTAAAAAAATTTTTATTTAGTGCATTTTGTGTCCTCTTATTAAGTGCATACATTTTTATAATTGTTATATGTTTTAATGGACTGACTTATTACAAAATGTACCTATTTGTCTTTAAGTCTCTTTTGACTAATCTCAGTGTAACCACTCCAGCAGTATAATTATCTTTTCCCATTCATTTAATTTTATTCTACATCTTTGAATACCAACTTTGTCTCCTGTAGATAATATTTTGTTTTTTTTTTTTTTTTTTGAGAAAGGGTCTTTCATATTAGCCTGGAACTTTCCATCTTCTTGCCCCAACCTCCTTTAAGTGTTGAAATTACAGGTGTGTGCCACCATGTGAGACAGGATCCTTTTTGAAAATCTACTTTGTCTTT